TGAGAAGACCACGCCTCTACAGTTTTCGTCGAAAATTTCGGCTGAATCAAACTGCGTTCGTTGAGGAGCATTCAGCGGTAAGGGATGAGTAAGATTTTAATATATGTCATTCATGCTTTACAAAGGATCAAACATACATTAGGGGCTTTTGCTGAGTATTATTGCAACTATATATGCTTCGATTCGCTGCCTAGAAATCAAGACATGATCAAGTGATACAGGATGTCGTAGGAGCTTAGGATCCGAAGGGGAGAAACTCGAGGAGAAGACAAATGCCGCCCAAAATCCCTCTCCTCCACGTGTCGAGAACTAGCTGGCTATCATCCCCAATTGAACGTCTCCTCCCCTCCCAATCACGTGACGCCTGATGACTATATACAAGAACAATTCCTTCTTATCTCTTCATACTGGACGTTTCCTCCCCACCGCATTGATGTACTCAGAATTTCGCAGCCTTGTAATGTAACTTCGAATGTCGCAACTTGTGCGGATTATATCGCATCTGCAACAGGTTTAATCCCCTTTCAAAAACCGTCGTAGCGTCCGGATCGCAGCGCTATTTGCGCGCCGACCAAGCGAGCCAACAGTCCGCCGCCTCGCAAGCGTACCATAATGCTTTTCAAGTTCGAATTGTATTGTGCTGGCGTACGGTGGATGGGATGGGAAAGGGGTCAAGGTGTATTTATCAGTGGGAGATCATGATACGTGTGATATGGAAAACAATCAAAGAGAATGACTAAGCAGAAGGTCAGCAATTCCTCTTTTGCAACTCCTCTTATAATGAGAGAAAATTGATAAGTATTGTCATTCATTACTCATGTACTGCCAAGTCGATTTTCCTGGGTATCGGGTCGGTATCAAGGCACGCTTTGCGCGCTCGCCTCTCTATCCCAGGAGTAATATATAGCGACAAGCGTTGAGTCGCACCATTTTGCCGCTTGATAGTCCCGCGACACAGCGCAAGATCGTTCGATTCGCACTCACACCCTTTTAGCACATTCTAAGTCCAAGTCCCGTATTTCTGTTGCTCAGTGGGTCCACATTTAAAGCGCGGCGCATTTGAGGGCGTCATCGGCGAACAATGTCATTTGGCATGGATCAAAAGTTAACCGTAAACTTCTCTCTTACGCGCCTTCTTATGCTAAGTTGACAAGTCTCTGTGGGGTCGTGTTCGTGGTTTCGTGCTTTTTCCTTTCTGTTCTTTCGTTTCCTTTCTCTTCTCTTTCTAAGATCGACTGCCACTCAAATCGGCCTATGCAGAGACATTAGAGCTGTGCTTAAGTTTGACGCTCATTCGTGGGGGATGTTCTGGCTATTGCGCATGCAAAGTTATCTACATACAACGAAAGTCTATAGCAATAACTTTCGGCTGTAGGTCCGACGTAACTCGACACAAGCCGGTTTTAACAGTCCGATGAGTGACCGCTACCGTAATCCACGTTGGCACTGGAGCGCGCAGCTACACTACTGCTGTGTACCCACACGTTTCAGCTCCAACGTGAGAGGGTATAGTGCCTCGCTGGCGAGTGCACAACCCCCCCAAGGCGCTTGGGCGAATATCAAAAATACCGCAGAGCTCCCTTGCCTACTTGCGCGCGAGCCAAGCGATGGCCGCTTTCGGCGCAGCAAGGAGATGGCCCCAGGGTCCTTGCGTCAACTAACTTGCCGGCAAGTTCGAGCGGACCGCCATTACTCTAATTATCAGACGAGCTCCGTAACAAGAGCCAGGTTCTATCACGCCCATTCTGTCGCCGTAGAGTGCGCGGAAAAACGACAAAAGGGCACGTCGAATTCTAATCGATGACACGTGACGTTGCGCGCCAACCAGTCACGTGTTACGGTTGCGGTCACTCACCGGACTTTGTAATCTCCACTAATAAATCAAGCAGAAAAGATACGGCTTCGGGCAGATTTTCGCTGTTTCAGCTCGCTCTCCAGCGGGGCCACATTCGCCGACCTCACACTATGCATTGGATCGTCCAATCGCTTGTCCTTCGCTTAGCCATGTACGGTCTTACGTGCGGGAGCGATTGGCAAGCGATTGCGCAAGGTCGCTGCATTGCAATCAGTGCACAAGCGACGACGACGAATCTGCGATCGATAGCGAAGCCGATGGGGGAGGCAATCGCCCGTGCTTGTGCATTTTTGCAAGCGATTGCGCAATCCGATTCGGAGAGCGATGCACGAGCCAGAGAGCGACTGCATAGTACGCGACCGGAAAAAAAAGAAACCATTTTTAAAAAAAAATGATTAAAACCAAAAAACATCGCGATCTGTCCGTCGCTTGCCAATCGCTCTTGGTCGAGCGATTGGCAAGCGATTGCGCAATCGCTTGCAAAGTGCACAAGCGACGGGCAATGGCTCTGCTCGATCGATACCGCAGCCGACCGCATTGACTGGGGGCGGGGCCAATCGCCCGTCGCTTGTGCACATTGCGCAATCGCTTGCCAATCGGATTCCGGGCGACTGGGGGACGCACCGATTAGCATTGGTCCCGCCGACTATGAGTCCCGTTGAATAAGCGATGAGCGATAGTCGCACTCGCTTGCCATCGGCCGGAGTGTGACGACCGGTCACTCCCGCGACGCGACCGGTCGTGTGTCCGTGTGGTCCCTCTACTTACTCTGCACAGTAGAGAGCCAGGGTCGAGGACTTTTCGACCGTGCTCCCACTGCTCCCGACGAGACCGCACTTCTTACTCGAAATAAATTTTTAGTCCGCCTGGGGAGAGGGCATGCCCATAACTTGACACTCTTGTGGTAGCATTGGTTCCCTTCACCAACGACCTTCTTTCAATTTTATTTGGATCCTTATCTGCTGTTTTTGGGAGCATAATTGAGACTTGCAGTAGGGGAAGTGCTTCCCAGATGACTTATATGCACACGCTCCCCAGCAAATAGAACTTTGTTAGGACACTCCGTTTGGGAGACAGGTAGCAGCGTAGATCTGTTTCGATAAATAATGTTTGGTTGAACAAAATTTCAAGATTTTTGATCAATGTCAGTGTTATTTAGATACTTAGCAAAGCGAAAAAGCCATGTAACCTGGGGAACCGCTGCGTGCCGTCTCCACGTCTTGGGGAGGTTCACTTTCCATGGGAGTGTTTTCTTCATTTCCCATAGGAATATTTCCCTCTGGATACAGAACTGGTGCTTCTTCCGATGATTTCCGATTGTTACGTCCTGAAATCGCAAAGCTGAGCTGGTTCAATTCAGTGCTCTCACTACCTAAAAACGAATCTTAAATCAGAGTCTTAGTAGAGTATTCTATCCACAAGTAAGATTAGGGGGCTCGTTACCCGAGCACGATTAAAGGAACTGTGCTGAGGAAGTGTAACAACAAGCTCAGGAATATAGACTATAAACCAATCTAGAGGTTACACAAAAATATGTATTGGCACTCAGACACCATACATACCTGTAGCGCTCAATAATGGCAATCAAGCTGGGTTAGGTGCCAGACCACATGAAGGCAAGCCCCAAGATAAGACCACTGGATACTTCCTTTGGCAGGTAGAATGAGCCCTTCAGAAAGCCCGCCGGCCGTTGAAGCGACAACAGAAACTTGTCGAGGCCCTCTCGTATAGCGTGTTATTTCACGTATCTCGCTTCTCTGATGTCTCGAATATCCGTCGCACCACATCTGTCCCCCGGAACTTTCACTCAAAGGCACAACATGATGAGTTCAGGTGGATAAATCCATTTGACAGGTGGGATATAGTAGTTCACGTACGACGAAAATGCACAGTTCCCCCCCCCCCCCCGCTAAAGTGGATAAGAAGGGCGACATGACCTTGCAAAGACCGCTTCGACCGCTTCCAAATTTTCTCGTCCACCATCCTGGTGTTTGGTGTCTCCCTCATCCTTGGTGCTCTCTCGCCTATACTCTCTTTTCTCCACATAGTCTCTCACTGCGTTTGCATAGGGATGAGCAAGCCCTTTACTTTGGCATTTTTTTCTGCTTTCCTTCTGTCTACTGCTGCTCCACTGTGCATACTTCCATTCTCGTGTACGAAAAACCTTTTCTTTTTTTTTGTCTCTGATTCTCGGTTGTGCCTGTAGAGTTTTAATGTCACTGCTCAGGTTGGAGTTCTCAGAAGTGAAGTTCGTTGCCAAAACTAGACTGAGCAGCCTTTCATGAAATCGCTTGTCTTTACCAAACTGAAGCCTTAGATGCAAACACTATTTTCACACAACACAATCTTGAAGACAAAGGTGGCGCTGAGCATATATTCTAGTCTGGCGCCATAAAACACTAAGATGTCGGTCAGACTCGGCGATTGCAACGCGATGGACCAGCGATGGGCGATTGGCTCCGCCCCCAATCGATGCAGTCGGCTCGGTATCGATCGCGGGCAGAGTTATCGCCCGTCGCTTGTGCACTTTGCAAACGATTGCGCAGCTCGCTCTCCCGGAGAGCGCATTGCCGCAGCGGTTGCCTGAATGTCTTGAAGCGAGATGGGGTCCCCCGAGCTCAAGGACTACTTTCTCGGTCGGTAGGGTAACGAGAGTTATGACGAAGTAGCTGCTTAGGAACTAGGTCTAGCAGCTCCGCCGAAACGGGCTGGTTTGCTTACCTGGTTACAGGACAAGCCTTGGAGAGAGGACGGACCTGCGCTCTCTCGCAGGTCCGTCCTCTCTTTAAGGCTTAGTCCTGAGGTAAGCATCAAATTGAGGCGGTTTTAAGGACCGAGTTGAAGTAGTCCGTCGACCGTCGGGGACCCCATCCCCTCCCCAACATTCAGCATACGGCCCCAGCAGAAACGCCAAAAGGGCTGGTTTGCTTACTTCCTCGGACGCTGGTCCATCGCGTTGCAATCGCCGAGTCTGACCGACATCTAAATGTTGCCAAAAACGCTTCCCATGATCAAGTGTGTTACCGGTGCTGCCTAGCTATTGGCTAAACGCAACCGATGCCTTCATTAACGAGTTCTCATCTGCTTGGTCAGTTCAACACTGAGGATTATCTACTTGTCACGTGAATTACAGAATTATACTTTACTAGTCAGTCAAATGAATTTCATCAATCTGACCTGCTTTTGGAGCTCTGGGAGCTCTGGGGGCTCTGGGAGCCCTGGGAGCCTTGGGAGCCTTAGGAGCCCTGGGAGCCTTGGGAGGCTTGGGAGGCTTAGGCTCCTTGGGAGGCTTAGGCTCCTTGGGAGGCTTAGGCTCCTTGGGAGGCTTGGGAGCCTTAGGAGTCTTAGGAGCCTTGGGAGCTCGAGGCTTTTTCGGTGCTCTGGCAGCACGTGCTCCTGAAATTGTTATCAAATTGAGATATGGTTTTACTGATGCTCATTCGCTTAAATGCTGTACTTTTCGGGGAGATCTCAGATGCCGGATTTTCCTTTCTAGGCCTTCTTCGCCTCTTCGGTTCGTTGGACGTTGAATCGCCTGAAAAGAGCAGAACATCATTCTGCACTCGAGGACAATAACACATGTAATCTCCGAAAAGCCTACTTGTATCCTTTTCTTCAGCCGGAGACAACTGGAGCTTCTCAATGGCCTCAGTAATTGCTTCATCTCCAATTGCTTGTTTCTTCATTGGATGAACAGCCTCAGCAGTCGTTTCAGCACCTCGCTTTCTTTCCCCCGTCACAGCGGAGACATACTTCTTGAGAATTCTCGGTTTGGGACGTGCTGAAAAAGCCAAGTTGAGGAACTGTTCTCTCTTTTTATGCTTTCAGAATGCGTACTTTACAATTATTTGTTTCTCCGTTCCTCCACAGCACTTCTCCATAGGATCTGACTAGACCTCATAACCCTCCCAGCTCCAAATCCGGCTCTATGGAAAAGCTTACCGGCGACGAGGACGCGTTCGCGCGTTGGCGACAGCGGCGGCGAGAAAGCGAGCAAGAGCCAGGTCTGCCACCAATACATTACTAACTTTGAGTATCACTTCACTGTGTAGTAGTAGAAGTATGTAGGGGTCGAACTTGAAAGACTTGTTCTAATCAACTTCAACTTGACTGTGTATCAAAGGTTTATATGAGAAAACCTTGACTTCCTCTACATTTTCAAGAAATTCTAGTTGCTAGTACGATGATGGTACCTATTCATAACATAATCAATTAGCTCGCGCCCCAGCTGACTGAGCAAGTTCGTATAGTGTCAGAAACTCAGCACTATTCGAACGAGGGCAGCGACGCGGTGGCATTTTCTTTGTTGCGACGTCATTTTGACGTCACCAGTACGCGCTCGCGTCCGCGCCGCCGGTGAGTTTTTCTCTTCCCCCTAGACCACTGCTTCAAAACTGGTTCGTAAACGATGGACTCAGTACCCAAATCACAGGGTAGCACTAGGTCAGGTGTTTTGAAGCTAAAAAGCGCAGCAGGTACTTTTTTCACAGGTAAGAATGGTTTGACAAGATGACGTATGAATTGTCAGAAATGTCTGGAAACCCTTTTGCTGGAGATTTAAAATTCCGGCATTTTTCTAGTACTCTTGCATTGACATACAACGTACCTCCACTTGCCGGCAAGGACCACGGGATCGCAGGTTTCTGTAACAAATTTTTCATTACTAGTACGAAATATTTATAACTTTCCGTTTTTTTTTTTGAACTCACATTTAGCGTGACAAAGGCCTGCTGAAAGCTTGCTTTAATGCCATCGTAACGCTCGCTTATTTCCTTTGGCATATTCATGACATCAGTCGGCAAAAACTAAAATTGAAGGACAATTCAGAATGAAACAACGGTTGCATCATCTGGGCAGACATAAAAGCGTTAAAAAAGGCCAGGGGTGAACTTGAGCACTGCCATAATAAACAAGGGCCAAGGGGAGGGGACCTAGCAACCCTGATCCCCCCCCCACCCTACAAATGTTACAGCAAAGTAGTTCGGCCGCTTCAGTTGGTACTGATTCCAGCACCCAGCACGAAAGACACCAGGCTCGGAAACTTGGCAATACCAATTTTGTAGGAAGAAATATACTCTTTTCCACCTTTAAACGCACATTCCACATTCAATACAAATGGATGAATTCCTTTCGTGGATAGAAATGAGTTATCCCCAGAGGTAGAATGTGGTTTTCCGAGCAGATGTGCAGACAAGGGAGCTAGGGCTTCACCACTGGAGCTGCTCTGGCCTGCTCCAGTTGGCCGCAGTGAGACGGGTTGCGCCGAGTTGTCTGCGCCCTCTCGTCCAACACGCTTCCTCGCCTATACCCTCCTCAGCAGCCGCCCGGCACAGCCGAGTCTGACGGACATCTGAATCAGCGTCACGTCTAGCTCATTTCAGGTGTA